ACAAGAAGAAAGACTCACGGACGTGCAGTAAAATACACGGACTTTTGTCAACAGTTTGTCTCAGACCGTGAAGATTGGTAAGCTGCATAGATGCCCAACAATCACAAAGAATCTGCAGTACAATGCCAAGATGCCTGGGAGTGGGTATAACAGGAGCAGTAGGTGCACAACCATGCGTTTGTATGTATGTGCCCTGGGCACAGAAGGCCCCGCCCCCACTCCGTTTTCAATAAGGGAGGCAGAAATCATCGATAGGAGACACTGCAAGAACATCCTGACAGCTGAGTCGGGGGAATGAATTTGATAAGGATGAGATCTGGTCTCCAAATGCATACACTATCCCCTTTTTTTGATTACCTGGAACAACTTTCTGAAACAACTTTGTTCAATAGTGAAGTACATGGGTAATTAAAACTTGTCTAATCATCCCATTAAAAAGGAAACAAGAGAAGCCAAAATTATCCTCATAATCTATCTTATTTAATCTCCTATATCCCACATGTTATAATGAAAACATGTAATCAATGCAAAGCATATTCATGCAACATTTTTTGCATTCTTTGTTTCTGGGGTGTACAACACACCTCAATTCTGAGCAGTCCCACTTTAAGCATCCAGCAGATACACGCAGTCTTGCTTCCACGGTGGACAGCCCAGAGCTCTCCAATAACAGCGGCTTGTATTGTTTCAATCGCTTACTCAGTGCCCTGCTGGATGCCCGTTGGGTGGGGATGACAGAGCATTCTGTCACAATATGTCTACCTTTTAAACCCCCATTCGTGCATACGTTGCTATTGCTTCAGTACCACAATAATAGAAGTTTCTGGACTTTCACAGGTCGCTTTCCTAATGTGGTGCTTGGGGAGGAGGTGGTCTGCGAGCTAGGATCATCATTAGAAAGGAGAGTAAGGATTATTTGGGACATTTGGGGGTGACAACGAAAAAGAAAGCCCACATATACAGAGACACTTGAAGACCGGAAACTTTTTTTTGTAGGATGGGGAACCTTTTTGGTAGGGTGGGGAAAGGTAGAGAGGAGTGAAAAGGAAGGGTATTCTTGACTCCAGCGCCCTCCAAGAGCAGGGCTCTGGTGGCTGTGGCTTGGACGGCCACTTCAGCTTCCCGCTCTCCCCACTCCTGGACGGTGAGGGAGACAGACAAACTAACAAGCTAACTGATACAAGTGAGGAGAAGAGACAGACAGGGTGGGTGCTAGGGCAGTGTGGAAGGGTGGGGAGAGGGTTCCCAGCAAGCAAGGTCTCTTTACTAACTCCAGGAAGGGGGATTAGCACACTGAATTAAGTTATGAAGGGTGAAGGCATCCAAGCAAAGAGAGACTGGGGATCAGTGAACCACAGTCCTGAAGGGAGATGAGGGACAGGGAGGAGTTCAGAACAAATCCTAAGTTTCCCACTGGGGCAGAGAGCCAGGCGTGGGTCATCCTTACAGGGTTTGGGTTGGAATGCTTGCCATTCCACACACCTACAAGTGCAGGCAAGGTAATTTGTCCCAGGTTTTGCCACTAATGCACACCAGGATGGGTGCCCAGGCTATCCTGAGATGGACGCGGGAGAGGAAATTACCTGGAACCAGAGCCTGCAGAAGAACAGCCCAAACTGTGTCAGGCAGCAGGATGCTCTTCAGAAAGTGAAGGCCGGGAGAGGGGAAGTCTGAGAAGTACGGGCAGGCGAGGTAGGAAAGAAAACCAGGTGTTTGGGAAGGAAGGGTGCCCCATCAGTCAGCAGCCTGGGCACGAATGGACAGGGATGGAGAGGAAGGACTGGGGACCAAACGTATTGCTGCGGTGGGCACAAGATCAGTGTAAGGTAGGTGACCTGTGGAGGCTGGTAAAGAGGAGGGGTGTGCAGAAGATCAGCTGGGGGTGGTGTAGAGAGTGAGAACTTGAGAGGGTGGGAAAAGGGAGTTCATGAAGAAGTTGAAGAGAGAAGGGCATCGATCCAGAACAGGGGAGGGAGCTTGGAGACCCCTAAATGTGACAAGTCCTTCCTGTGAACCCCCTGCAGGGGGAGGGAAAGGAGGGAATGGGACCCTGTGAAAAGCAGAAAGAGGAAAGAACTAGAAAGAGAAACCACTGCAGAGGAAGGGAAGGAGGAGAAAAGGGTGCCGTCTAGGCGAAGGCCAGGAAGACAGAGGTAAGAGGGCAGAAACTTCCCTAGCTCAGGTATCCTAGCATCTGGGCCCTCAGCTGGGTTTCCCAGGCCTTGGAAGCAACCGCCCTCAAGGTGGGGTGAGATGGGATGGGATGGGTTGGGGATGGAACTGGAGTCAGGCCAGGGCAGGGCGATCTCAACTCCATAGAGAACAACCCAGGCGGTGACCAGACTCCTGCCACTCATCTCCGAGGGTCTTCCTTTCAATGTCAAACTATTTCGAAAGCACCGCCTCAAGCGCAGGTGTTTTCCTAAATAATTTATAAATTATTAAGGGCTCATGAGGGAGGGGGGGAACGGGGAAGGAGGGGAAAAAATGAGGACCTCATGCGAGGAGCTTCAGTGGAGAGCAAATGTTTTGAGAATGATGAGGGCAATGAATGTACAAATGTGCTTGACACAATTGATGTATGTAAGGATTGTGATAAGAGATGTATGAGCCCCTAATAAAACGATTTTAAAAATGAATAAATAAATAAAGATTTAGATGCGATCAGGGAGAGCCAGAACCACACGAGAGGGCGTCCAGTGGGGCAGTGGCAAGTCTAGGGACTCTCCTTAGACCCCAAGCTCCTCTTTGCAGCCGCAGTCCGGCCTCGCGCCTCCCTCGGGAGTCCAGCTTTGGACTTGGCCGCGTCACGGCCCAAGGGCGCGGTCTGTCGCGGAGGGCAAAGGCCTCCGCAATGTTTGTTCAACGAAAGCCAGGTCCTCTAGAGGTCCTCGCTCCAAGAAAACCCCGGCCACCTCTTGTCATTTTCGATTTTCTCTGACCAGCTTCTCCCTCCCTCCCTCCCTCCCTCCCTCTCCACGGGATCTGGCTTGATCGGGGCCCGGTTCCCACTCCGCAGCGGGTCCCCTCTTCTTTCCAGAATCGAGGTTAGGGCAAAGGAGGAGTGGGGAAGACAGAAGGAGGGGGAAGAAGAGTCGAGGGCGGGGAGCAGAGAGGCAGGGGAGGGGGAAGATGGACAGAGACAGAGACAGCCGGACTGCAGAGGCGCCGGAGGTCAGCGGAAGAGACGTGGGCGCTCGCCTATTCCTTAACAATTCTTTCCCTGCGTGTTTCTGGGGCGCCTCCGGGACCCGCAGGGCTTCAGGGTGCCCCCCGCCCGCTTGCCCAAAGGGGCCGGAACAGAGGCGCGCGGGCGCTTTTCAGCGCACTGGAGTGGAAAATAGACTTTAACCCGCTTTGTAGCGGCCCGGGCGCCCGGAGCGCTCGCTCGG